ACTGGATGTCGATCGGTTATGTTTCGCTCTGTTATCCCAAGCGGCAGGAAGAAGGAAATGCTTGGAGAGCATGCAAGGACCTTCATGCGCACAAGAAGAAATACCCGCGCACCGCCTGCTCTCGCTGATAGCTAGTCAGCGATTCGCTAATTGCACGCTGACGCTCGCGCATTTTCTTGCCTCTGCTCTGATCCCAGGTCACCGAAGAGTGATCGACAGCGTGGTCGGACCCGCCTATAGCTTGTATGTAAGAACTCAGCTTTGCGCGCGCCCCGCGAACCCCCCCCCCCCCCCCCCCCCTCCCTCCCTCCCTCCGCTCCCCTTCCCGCCCAAGCGAGCGTTTGGTGTTAAAGCGGAGAATTTCCTCGTACCTTACAGGATAGACCTCGCAGTCGCTCTTCTGACGGTTTACACGTAGCTCACGATCGTGACTTAGGCAGGAGCAGGAAGCAAGAGGAGGTGCACCGATATAAGATGAAGAGATGGATGGCCCGTGCGACCACTCTCACGATCCGTCACAGAACCTTGCAGCTATGGAGGGACAACGCTGCAAAGAGGCGGGATGCCGGTGATCACCAGCGGGAGTCACACTGACGATCCGTCCTGGTTATGCCCGCTAGCTCACATTCGATTCAATGCGAACTGTCTGACGCCAAGAAAACTACCCGCGCTTGCAAACGCACTGACAGGTGTGGGGGGAACAGGGGGGGCGGAGGGAGGAGAGACGGGGACGGAAGACCCGTCGCTTCCTCGCTCCCTCCTCGTCTGTCTGCCCACTATCCCCCTCCGTTGCTTTCCAGCCGTGGAAACGCGAACTGACCAGGAGAGAGTTCCGTTTCCACACGTCGCAACGGGCTGAAACCGAGCAGTAAGGTCGGGTGCAACTTTGGGAGGGGGGGAAGGGCCGGGCGTCGGGCGGGTTGCTTCGACTACAACGGACACGGGAGGGGATGCAAGGGGAGCAGGACACCCCATAGTAATCGACGGAATCGACGGAGAAGGCAAGGGTGAAGTGACCAAAGCAACGACCACGATCCGTCGGCAATTAACTGGAGGCGAAGCGGAAGCGAAACCGACGCTCACGGCTGCCATGGGTTACCTGCTCACCCCTCGAGGCCGTGCGCGCGGAAGTAAACAACGAATTCAAACGAGGGGAGGAGGACAAGATGTTTGCGCTTCAAGATTACCTACCGGTAGTAGCATGGCCACTCCGCAAGGAGGGACTCCAGGGCATCGCCGCACCACTCTCGAGATGTGCAGAATGAGAATGAACTTCCCGCTACAACATGGCCCGATGCGCCCGCCACATTTTTGTGCTTTTCACATTTCGAGAATGGTGTGGCGACCCAAGAGCCCAGCTCAGTGGGTACACCCATGAAGTGTTGAAATACACACCTGTGTTCGAATCCAGATGATGGAACTTGACAAGTAAAACCAACTACTAATGAATTGCTTGGGGCCGGTCAGCTCAATGACAATATCTCAAGGCCGTCGCCCTTTATAATAAAAAAGAAGAAAAAAAAAAAAAGAAAGAAAGAAAGAAAAAAAGAATGGTGTGGCGAAGCCGTCACACAAAAAGTCGGGCCAAAAAAAAAAAAAAAAAAAAAAAAAGTCGGGCCTAAAACACGGTCACATACGTCCAGGGAAGGCCAGGTATCAATAGCGGTCAGATAAAATGGTCCTTCCGTCGTATATCATCATTCTGTTCATGTGGAGCAAGCTCCCACTAGCACAGCGCCTGATGAGTCTGGATGGGTCTTACCTAACGATGCAGAAACGCAGATCAGTCGCGATTTGTGCACTTGTGCGTAAACACGTCCAGATTCAGGCCTAAAATCCATCTGGAATCAACAGAAATGTCATTACATTTCTGGTCTCATTATCGTTTTAGTATTACGGGGAACCGCCTAGCAGCCACAACTCTGTTAACGAGAGCAAATACGGACGCTGCACCTAAACAACCACCTCCCTGCACCTAAACACCCCCCTCCAAAGAAAAGGAGAAACAACCACCTCGAAAAAGAAGAGGAAAAAAAAACACCACCTCGGAGGCATAATTCTACCGCAACAGGAATTCCGAGGTGGATGACTCCAGTCAATCGGCCTCGGTTTCTCAAACTTTTATACTTCTTTGTACATTTCGATATGGGGCGCTGGGCCCGGTTCCCAGCACGTGCTGCTCCCCACGAATAGATTGGAGCCTTGTTTTCAAAAGAAAAAAAAGAAAAAAAAAGTAAATCGGTGGGGTGCTGCACCTGGCGGAAAACGGGTCCAGCGTACTCGCGTTCCGCAGGAGCAGGGCAGATTGTCCGCCTACGGTTGCTGCCTGCGACTGCGTTGCGGTAGATCCGTGCGAGGGGATGCACCCGGGAAAAATTGGGATGGGTAGGTGGGGCCTCGTGAGCTGAAAAAGGAGAACTGTGTATGGGTAGGTGGGGCCTCGTGAGCTGAAAAAGGAGAACTGTGTATGGGCAGGTGGGGCCTCGTGAGCTGAAAAAGGAGAACTGTGTAATATGTTGGACGCTTCTCATGCTACTCTTCTCTGCAGATGTGGCTTGGGCACTGAGCCTGAAATAAACTGTTATACCGCCTTCGGGGTAGCATGTTTTATGTTTCAGACAGCAGGTCCGGCAAAGATCCGGTGGTCTCTACTTGATTGTATGGTGAATGAATGTGTATGCTTGTACGAGTTTTCCTTTTCTTCAGCCTATAGTGGAATCTCTTTCTGGTTTCTCTTGATGGATGATTGAGCAGCTTTTACCATTGTGTGCATGAGGTTTTATCGCATAGTATAGGCAAGAATGATAAATGCATGTTTGTTTGTAGCTTTGCTTTCTTGCTTTCAGTAAGTGTTGTGCTGGGCCTATATCTTTTGAAAGAGGGGACGCAATCTACTCCGCCTGTATCCAAGCCCCATGATCTCCCCATGAACGAGTATGCATGGTACTTCTCTGACTCTACAGTCTTCCGCCAAATACAACGTACGGTCATTATAGCTGAACTTAGACTGAAAGATGACCCAAATTCGGCTATAATGACCGTACGTTGTATTCGGGGGAAGACTGTAGCGCTCCCTGCCATTGTTGAAGGTTGGATGAGCATCGACATGATTTGCCCATTTGCCGTCCGAACGACGAAGTGGCGCCTCACTGCGGTCTAAGCCCCCGCAAAGGTTTTTGATTCCTTGCCCCTCTACTTGAACAACTTGCGGATGCATTTTCAAACCACCAGCACCTTTCTCAGCTATCGATGCCGGCGCTGGGCCGACCGGTATGCTAAGGCTGCCGAGCCTGGAGGTACCAGTAGTCGACTTCATTTTATAGCACAAAAAGAAAGAAGAAAGAGAATTAAAAAAAAAAAAAGAGAGAACACAAAAAAATGAGCGGCATTATCTTTTCAGGGGTAACTTCAGTAGAGTCACAAAAATGAGTTATAATTGCAATATGGGGCAAGATACAGTTTGCAATTGCACTTCGGGCACCCTACCTGGCCAGAAAGCATGGTTGTATACATTGCCCGAACTGCAATTCGAACTGTATCCTGGCCCATAGTACAATTATAACTCATTTTTGGGGTAATTTCAGTAGAGTCACAAAAACGAGTTATAATAATATAAGATGAAACGGAAGCAGAATCACAAATGGAGTTCTCTCACCCTGCACGCGGGAAGGAGCGGTGGAGAGAGAGAGAGGGAGTCTCTCTCTCTCTCTCTCTCTCTCTCCTGTCTCTTATACACATCTAGATGTGTATAAGAGACAGGTGTGTGTGTGTGTGTGTGTGTGTGTGTGTGTGTGTGCCCCACCCCCCCTGGCACGAAGATGTCGTTCTTTTGTTTCTTTCTTTTTTCTTTTCCGACTAGATGCCAGCTATACCATAGAAACACATTACAGCCCCTTGTGGGATAAAAAGAATGTCGCAGGTTCGAATCCTGTCATCCCTATTTTAGTTATTTTTTTTCTTACTTTTTGATTTTCTTTTTTCTCTTTTTTCCTTTTTTGTGGTGATCGAGTGTTTGTGGGGGTCCCCGACCTCCCATGTTAATTGTCGTGGAATAGAAAAGCAATTAGGGAAAGGTATTGGTGGTTTAAAGAACTTCTTTCTGAACTCATCCATTAGCTTCCTAGGTAATCCTCCCTTCTCGACGGATGGGCATGAACATCTCGTCACATTGCCTGATTTCCTTCATGTGGGTTATTCCCAAAGTCGATGGGATCGATTCAACTTGTTTTGTCAACGGTGTATGCGAGTGCAACTAATTGTCGATGGGCATGCGGATTGACCCCGTGGGATCATCTGCACCCCGACTTCGTGAACACCTCTGCCCATGTCTCTTCCCATATAAAGAGGATATGACACGTGCTTGCGAGTGGGTCGTTCCTGAAGTGGTGACCCAAATCGGTCGCCCTTATCAATTTGATTATGAAACGCAGTGCTCTGGGTTTGTCAATTCGAGATTTGTGATTGTTGATACCTATTTTCCTCCTTTCTCCATTTTACTTCCCTTTAAAAAGTTGATTGTTCTTATGTGGCCGACTATTGCACCATATTGGTCGCACACTCTCTGTTGCTACTGCCGACATACTTAACGGTTGAAGAAACAGAGGTTTCACTGAAGTGGCGGAGAGGCAGATGGACTCCGCCCCTTCGACTTTGATTTCGAACTCTTCGAGACGCGTCATCAAACCCTTGTCTATAGCCGAGATGCAGCATACACACCCTCACAATTTTGACCTAGAAAAAGACACCGCATTGTGCGCGATGAAGTTCGGAGGTACTTTTTGGATTAGAAAGTCGTTGTAGTATGATTTTTTTTTTTTTTCTCTCGTTTCCCGCCTTCACTCATTGTTTTATGACCAGAACTGCATGGGAGATTCCTGGGACTCTATACTCAAATTTTCCTAAAATCTTTAGCACACCCCCATTTCTGCTTCATGAACCCTTTTATGCACTGTTGTCACTCCAACAGGAAAGCAGTGTAGGGCGTGAGGTTGGTATTGGAACCAATACGTGTCGGTTCCTAAGCGAGCAACGAATGGGCGGGAGCACGAAGAAAAGTCGCTTCTTCCTTGCCCCGATCGACAAGACGTAGCCTTGCTATCATTCGCGGTCGATCTATTGAGTCTCGTGCGTGTATGGCACATACACGCAAACCGCGATTATGTTGTTCTTGGTGTCGTCACATGCGCCATGGTGCTGGTTACTGTAGTGTTCGTCGTTGCAGTGCTCACCATACCCATTCGTCGTGGTTGAACCTCGACGCGCCAGGTGATTTTCATCCCGGTGCCCATGTTCCTTGTCCTCATGGACACCGTCTGTATAAGACTGTGGCCATCCCTATCCCGACTCTGCCCGTAGTGAGTGGTTGTCGTCGTAGTAGTATTCTCGTTCCCAACAATCATGCATTGTTGGCACTGAGGGTGCTAATTCGTCGTCAATAGTCTGGCCTGGTTCGTTATGATGGTCACGATGCACCTATCCAAGTTCTAGCATGAAATTTATTCTCATTTTTCTCATTACAATAAGCGAGCGGCATTCGACGGGGGAGCGATCATTAAGGTGACAACAAGGGTGTGCGTACCAACAAGAGCGCGCACTGTCGGGCGCAATGGTTCCACACCCTGCAGTGAGCGTAGGACCTCACGGTCGTGTCACGAACGATTAAGGTATTGTTTTGAGTCAGCGGAGATACTACTCTGACCGTGCATGCTGGTTATACCTCTCGCGACTCCCTGCGACAGGTCAGGGCTCCGCGAGGTACAACTCACCTCTACCTAAGGGGTTGCCACCACCTTCAGATAGGCGTATACCTGCTGAGCTACTGACTTGCATACGAAGG